TAATTAATGATTTGTATTGCGATTTACAGGTCGCATCGTTGATTGTGCATTCACACTTACTTTTAATCCTGTTTATGATCCCCTCAAAGAAGCAGTTAAAGATGCTACTAATACTGGTGTTCAGGTAAGTTATTAACAGATAATTAGTCTTTTAGTTAGTCTTTTAGTTAGTCTTTTAAATAGTCTTTTAATTAGTCTCTCAATTAGTCTCTTGTTGAGAAAAAAAAAAAGACCAACTAAAAAATAAATTATTATTGCTAATAGGAGGCAGGTATTGATGTGAGACTAAGTGATATCGGCGCTGCTATTCAAGAAGGTAAGTTTATCATGTTTCTGTGATAAACTAAGATGTCTATATATTCAATTATTGCTAATTTTTTATACCAATTATTAGTCATGGAGAGTTATGAGGTCGAAATTAATCAAAAAACATATCAAGGTATTTTTATTTTATTAATTATTACAAGCTGGCTGTTTTTTTTTGTATTAAAAACTTTTAAAATATTTACATTTATAAATATTTATGAATATTTATGTAGTAAAACCAATTCGCAATTTGAATGGACATTCAATACTTCCATACCAAATTCACGCCGGAAAATCTGTGCCAATTGTCAAAGGCAGTTCATCATCAATAAAAATGGAGGCAAGTACTTAAAAGTTTATATGGTTTAAACTATATTAAGGTCATAAAATAACTGACATATATATTGATATATAGGAAGGTGAATATTTTGCTATTGAAACCTTTGGAAGTACGGGGAAGGGTTATGTTCGTGAAGATGGTGAATGTAGTCACTATGCGAAACGTCAAGATGTCGATCAAGTTACACTACGGTAAGGATATTGTTCTCTTTAATATCATTAATCTCTTCATTTTACAAAATCCGAAATAACATAGCTTTGTATATAGTATAAAGAAAGCCAAATCTCTTTTAAACTCCATTAGCAAGCATTTTGGCACATTACCATTTTGCCGTCGATATCTCGACCGTGTGGGGGAAACTAAATATGCGTTAGCGTTAAAACATTTAGTTGATTCTGGTGTAGTAGAATCTTATCCACCATTGGTTGACATAAAAGGTTCATACACAGCACAATTTGAACACACTATAATTCTAAGGCCAACCTGCAAAGAAGTAAGTTTCTTTTTAAATATGTATATATTAAATTTTCACTCTTTGATTACACTAATTTATTAATCTCGTAATTTAGGTTGTTAGTAGGGGTGATGATTATTAGCTTGGAATATGTTATTAAAACATTTATTATAAAACTGTAAAACTACGATTCTTGCAATTTTGGTCATCATATAATATAGGTGTTACAAGAATGTTAATGTACTTAAAAAGAGAAATACTATTATTTGATATAATTGCTAAATGCAAATATTTTCATGTAATTAATAATAGTGACTCTTGATCTTAATTTTTAACTTTGTATAATATATATATATATGTTTTTTCTGCAATCCAGAAAACATAAATCGATATTTCCCGCACTTTAATAAAAAATTGTTGTGGATCACGCGATTATAAACTATCACTAGCCAATTACAACATACACAACATAACGAGCTTTCATTGTAATTGGCCAATTTTTGTAGATTTTATTGGTTAACCGAATTCTAAAATTAAACTAAATCGTCAAGGATAAATCAACTGTACATACATATATTTGTAATACAAAATGTTTCGCTAATATGTAGATCGTATTGTGTAATATTCCGCTCTATCACCCAATCCAATTTAATGCCGCTATGTTCCGATCACGGTATTGATTTGGCCAATCAGATTAACAT